ACGATCACTTCACCTTTAATTCACTAAACCCAGTAGAGACATCGTTGTTTAATCAATCTATGATATTACGAGACCTCACTCATCTTTATTGTCACAAACACAGTGTTTAAACTAAATTTTGTTGAATAATTTCAATAAATTTTCTTTAGCGATATGATAAGAAGGCGGACAAATGTAATGCATAGTGTGACAATAATAATAATAATGTTTACTATGTTAACAAATAGCTATCTCCTTTTTATAAGTTACATAACTGTCTACCGTCGACGATCATACCACGTTTAAAACACCGGTTCCTCGTCCGTCGGATAACTATCTCTACCATGAAGATGTCACATGGAATACACTTTACGAATATTGAACACATTGCATATGATCTTAGCCTATTTTTCCTATTGAGTTTAACTGTATACTATGGATTTGTGTGTGTGTGTGTGTTGATCTCTCTGTTTCAGTGGTACATGTACATGCGCTTCTAAGGCACAGCATTTAAAAATTACTCTTATATAAAATTCATTTTCACACAGCATGAATTATATATATATATATATATATATATATATATATATATATATATATATATCAATATATCAATATATCAATATACATTTTATTTCAGTTTTTGCACAATTTGTTTCATGTTCAATTAAATTATATAATCAGTTTCTATTTAGTTCTTTTGTTAGTGGTATTATTGATGCATAAACATTGATAGGCGTCTATTGTGCGTTGTTGTTACATAAGCTATTATTCATAAATTATCAATGAGATTTTATTTATTTATTTATCTAATGGTCTTTATGATGTTTAATGATAATATAATTAGATTAAGAATATGTCATTATTGAACTTATCAAATTAACTTGTTATTCTTTGCAATCCATTATTGCATACAGAATCTATATAAATCAAAACATATATTTTATAATCGAAGTGCTCACTAGTGACTAGCTTCGTCAGGAAATTCTCGGAATTCAACCCTGTCGAGTGTAGCCAGTCAAACTATACCAAAGACACATGAGTGAGGTCGCGCAAAATCCCTAGATCAATCAGAGTTAGACATTAACACCTTTGGCTGTCGGCCCAGTAGTCCGATGGTTAGGCGTTCGCGCACAAGTCCGAAAGTCGTGGGTTCTAATCCCTAGGGGTGCAGGAATCGTGGATGCGCACTGCTGATCAGTGTCATACCAGTATGAAACAGCTGTCCTCCAATACTTTGAGGTTTCTAATGTTAGTCTTACAATGACTGATTCATGACTCCAGTGTGTAAAAATAATCGAAGTTATATCAAATCCACCTTTTTGCCACTCACTGCCATTATTATCTTTGGTAAATTAAAACAAGAGAAAATGGTTTTATTCTCATTGAACAAATACTGTTCATTTATAATCACTGTGTAATGTTTTGACTTGGGAGTGTTTCGTTCTTTTTCTCTCTCTCTCTCTCCCTCTCATCATATGTTCATGTAGGTAGAATGAAAAGTTCAGTTCTATGCATTAATATCATTAATAAAGTAGAGAGATAAAGCGAAGACGTCTGTCTAACATGTATGACACAGATTAGTAATAAAAAAATTTTTATTGCTTTTACAATAAAAGGTGTTTGTTGTGTTTGTTTTTTAATGGTTCTCTAATTTAGTTTAACTATTGCATAGTTTATTATTACAATGTTAACTAACTAAACTGTGAATATTTAGATTGAAAATAAGAGATTCCATACGGATCGATGATAATTTGTTCTGGTATTTAATTAGGCGTTGGAGATGAGATTGAAATTTTCCAGTTTCAAATCGCTGTCTACTATGCTTACTTACTTACTTACTTACTTACGCCTGTTACCCCCAATGGAGCATAGGCCGCCCACCAGTTTTCTCCAACCAACTCTGTCCTGGGCTTCCCTCTCCAGTTCTGTCCAATGTTTGTTCATTCCTCTCATATCTTTCTCTATTTGTCGGCGTAGTGTGTTCCTTGGTCTTCCTCTTTTCCTTTTGCCTTGAGGGTTCCATGTGAGGGCTTGTCTCATGACGCAGTTAGGTGCTTTTCGTAGTGTGTGTCCTATCCACTTCCACCGCTTCTTCCTGATTTCCTCCTCCACTGCAATCTGGTTTGTTCTCTCCCACAGTAGGTTGTTGCTGATCGTGTCTGGCCAACGAATACGAAGTAATTTGCGTAGACAACTGTTAATAAACACTTGTATCTTCTGGATGATGGCTTTCGTAGTTCTCCATGTTTCCGCTCCATTCAGTAGAACTGTCTTCACATTTGTATTGAAAATCCGGCCTGTTGATCTCGAAGTTGTGTGTCTACGAAGTCCTTCATTCTGTTTAACAATACCCTGTTGAAGACTTTGCCTGTTATTGAAAGAAGAGTGATGCCTCTGTAGTTCTCACACTTGCTTAGATCACCTTTCTTTGGTATTTTGATGAGGTATCCTTCTTTCCAATCTGATGGTATTTGTTCCTCATCCCAAATCTTCTTGAAGAGGATGTAAAATATTTTCGCAGTTGCTTCTACATCTGCTTTCATTGCCTCTGCTGGAATGTTGTCTGGTCCTGCTGCTTTGCCGCACTTGATTTGTCTGATGGCCATACTGATCTCCTCAATCGTAGGTGCGCAAATGTTAAGTGGGAGGTCCGTGGATGCTGCTTCGATGTTGCGTGTGTTCAAAGGAGCTGGTCGATTTAGGAGTTCCTTAAAGTGCTCTACCCACCTATTTCGCTGTTCTTCAGTGTTGCTGACTACTCTGCCTTGCTTGCTTTTCGCTGGTCGTTCTGGTTTACGATAGTTTCCGGCGAGCTTCTTTGTTGTTTCGTACAATTGTCTCAAGTTTCCTTCTCTTGCAGCCTTTTCCGCCGTCATTGCTAGATCTTCCACATATTTTCGTTTGTCAGCTCTGATGCTCTTCTTCACTTCCCTGTTTGCTTCCGTGTATTCAGCTTGTGCCTTAACTTTCTCTGCTCTTGTTCGGCTGACATTCACTGCTGCCTTCTTGTTCCTCCTTTCTTCTATTTTTTCAAGAGTACCAACAGAGATCCATTCCTTGTGATGCTGCTTCTTGCGACCAAGGACCTCCTGACATGTTGAAGTGATTGCCTCCTTAATCCCTTTCCAATTGTTCTCCATTGAGTAGATCCTGAAAGGCCTGGAACCTATTGGTGAGGGCTATCTTGAATTCGTTGAGTTTTACGGTATCCCGAAGAAAGGCTGTATTAAACTTCTGTGATGTTGTCTGCCCCGTTGTCCAGTGCTTCTTTAGTTTCAGTTTCATTTTGGCGACCAGCAAATGGTGATCTGAGGCTATATCAGCTCCTCTCCTGGTTCTCACATCCTCCATAGTCCTTCTGAACTTTTTGTTGATACAGATATGATCAATCTGGTTTTGGGTAGTGTGATCCGGTGAAATCCATGTGGCTTTGTGTATGCGTTTGTGCCGAGCACCTCGAGGTTGTATCGTTTCATTTCTGCCGCAACTTGAAATAGTCTTTCAGTCTCCCACCATGTACGAACGTTCCATGTACCTAAAAAAATGGTTGCTCTGGTTGTCAGAAGAGGCATCGGCCCCGTGACTTCCGAGGGAACTCGGCTTTCATCACTCATAGTTCATCATAATTCTTCTTCCAACTCCCAGGGCAGAGTTAAAATTGTTTGAAATATTTTTTTCTGGTTAGCGTGTTTTTAGAAAGTTAGATTTCGACGGAATGGGGTCGCTAACCCCATGTCTAACCCTCCTCCTTTACTCGGGCTTGGGACCGGCAGTAGCACCTAAGGTTCTACTGGCGGAGTTCTGTCTGTCTACTATGCACACGCATCAAAATGTAGCAAACCATTAGAAAATGATTCCAATTGGAAAATTAACTGATCACTGTGAGATGCTTGAAAGTATCCAGCTGTATTGTTTGATGATTTTACTTCACCAACAACAACAAAAAGAGTCTTTTCCTCCTTAGATAATGAAATGCATATGATGCAATAACACAGTAATTTTCTCAAAGAAAAATATCCAGTGCTAATTTTAATTCAAATTAAAAAAAAAAAGTTTCATCATGTTTTTTGTTTATTTTTAAAACATAAATTCAAAGTCAAATAAAGTTATTCTGTTTATTGCCAATAATAATAATAATAATAATGACTAAATGTAGTAAAGTGCAAAAAATAAATGTTATCTATGAATTTGAGATGATTGTTGAATAGTGAAACAATTCAGTTTGTTTTGTTTTGTTTTTTTCAAAACTTTACAATTAATTTCAGAATTCATTGATTTACTTGTTAATTATCACCAGAGACTAAGCTTTTTCTGCAAAAAACAACTTCATACACATAGTTTTATTGATTATTTTAAAGAAAACAAAAATATTTATTATTTTTTTAAAATATAACAATTCAAAACAGAATAACATAAATTGTATTTGATATCGTTTGATTTTTTTCATTAGCATCTTACAATCTTATATATCATATGGAACATGTTATCATTATTGACCTATTGATTATTGATCTCATTTTTTGTTATATCACATTGATCTCTATATTCAAGTAGAGAGATATAATGCATCCAATGATAATTGGCACAAATTGCTTTTTTTTTTATTTGTTTAAATTAAATTCAAACTGAATCGAGAAGGGGAACTTACACAACAACAAATCACTTTATGAAGTCTTTTTCATATTGTCCACTTCATCAATAATAAACAATTTTTATAGTTTGTAAAAGTAGACAACAAATAAATATCACCACTGTATTATAAGTGTTTTTAATTTGAACGATAATGTGTTGACTATGAGACTTGAAAATGCTTTTTTTTTCTCTTTGTAATTTTTCTCAGCAAGTCGGCTTCAGTCTGTGTTATAAATTAATGTGACACATCTAATGGCACTAATCATTTTGATGATATTGCAGCTGTGGTGTCAGTCAGTCAGTCAGTACACAATGATCAATTGTGTTTACTTAGTTAGCTGCATAATAAATAATCATTTCTGTTTGTATTTTATGATACATTTCAGTGCATCTGGTGTTGTTTACAGTGGTATTGAATCAGCAACTGGACGTCGTGTTGCAATTAAACAAATGAATTTAAAGAAACAACCTAAAAAAGAATTGATTGTCAATGAAATTTATGTCATGAAAGTGAAAAAGCATCCAAATGTTGTGAATTATTTAGATAGTTATCTTATTGGTGATGAATTATGGGTTGTAATGGAATATTTAGACGGTGGTTCATTAACAGAAGTTGTCACTGAAACATTAATGGATGAAGGACAAATTGCAGCGGTATGCAAAGAGGTAAGTAAGTAAGTAAGTAAGTAGTGTGTGTGTGTGTGTGTGTATGTATGCTCGATTGTTCTTGCTTGATTCAATCAATCATCATCAATATCTATGAGAGATGGCCACATTGTATGATTTATAAAGTAAAATAAGATGAATTATCTAGATAATTGTAATTATATGATGACAATGGTAATAATGGTAGTCAAGATAAAACTACAAATAGAAACTATAATTCAGCAATAATGAATACATTGAATCTTGGAGTAGACAAATAATAAATGCATCTGTACGGTTGTGATTGATTTTGACCCAGCCAACCAAACCAGCAGTCATTAAATTCATGCATTAATTACTACCTTTCAATTCGACAGCATCAAGATAGGTGGTAGTTAGACTTAAGTAATCTATTTTCCCGACTACAATTCCACTCAATGATTTTCCATATTAGTACCTATTGGTCACCTCAACATTACTCGTTCTGTTGGGGGAGAATACTTTGCAGATACCTTAATTTAAGAATCTTTAACCTTTGCGTATTTTCTATTTTCATATATCTAAAAGGATACAAAAACCAATTGCTATTCGGCATACATTCCATTTTAGTTAGGAGACTAACATCTATCTGGCTTATTCGTTGATTGTTATGACTTAACACAATTCAATTAGGCTTTATGCATTTCATATCAATACTTCTTGCTACACCAATGCACGAAGTGGTAATGAGACTTTCATGCTAGGTTATATGGTTAACTAGTAGTATTGTTTTGATCTTATTTTCTTCACAAATCCTCAGACTACTTGTGATAATCAATCATATGCACACCAGTGACTATAATTCTAGTAAGAAAGCTGTAAATAGTCGAGTTTAAACATAAAAGGTATCAGGCAGTTGCTGACAAGTGATATTCATAATTTGATTGAAATTTTTTGTAATATCACTTATTAAGTGTAAATCTGAAGTCGCTGTGTTCGACAACAGGTAATGTAGGCACACACTGTGATTAGATTTTTAAAGGATATTATTCTTATCATGTGTTGTATTGATATGTGTACATTGTATTTTTAAGCTTTGATTTTTATTTTTTAGTGATTTTTCTTCACTTCATTTATTCTGTACTTTTTGTTTTTCTTTTTTATTATTTTTTTTTCCTATCAAAATACATCCCATACTCATCAATATATATACAAATATATCTATGCATTTGTGTATGTGTTGTTATAAAATAATCATAATCATAATACACAGTGTTTACAAGCATTGGAATTTCTGCATAAAAATCAAGTGATTCATCGTGATATTAAATCAGATAATATTTTATTAGGATTAGATGGTTCAGTGAAATTGACCGATTTCGGTTTTTGTGCTCAACTTAGTCCAGAACAAACAAAACGTTCTACCATGGTTGGTACACCATATTGGATGGCACCGGAAGTAGTAACAAGGAAACAATATGGACCAAAAGTCGATATATGGTCACTTGGTATTATGGCAATTGAAATGATTGATGGTGAACCGCCTTATTTAAATGAAAATCCTGTTCGTGTATGTTATGTTTTGATTGTTATTGTTTATTCTTTACTCTGGTTATAAATAACTTGAATCGATATATATATATATATATATACAATAGTTCCCGTATAGTGTGCTATGTATGACTGAATGTGAATCACTTTTTTTAATGAATGAGGTTCTGTGCAAATTTTTTTTCCTTTTAATGTTTACTGAATCTAGTCAGTGTGTTGTGAAGTGAGATTACTGCATATATTGATAAGAGCATAATATTTTCATCAGAGGTTTCATTGCCGACATCTGGAACTATCTTAAAACTGTCGGCTATGATGAGCATGTTCAATGCAAAGCAGCCGAATATCATGTGAAATTGTTAAAAACACAACTGTAGTAAAAAAATAATCGCAGAATTAAAATGAAATATCTCTAATAGAAATGATGCTGTATTATTTAACCACATCCACTAACTAACTAGACAAAATAAACATGTGATGTTTTATAAAAATCTTGAATGCAATACACCTATTACAACATTGGAAATATTGAACAGATTGCCTCTAGTCAGTCTAATGTAAATTATTTATTTGATTGCGCTTATTGTTCATGTCAATTCAAAACAAAAATGTTAAACAAGGCAAAATTAATTCAAAGTTTAAATTGCTATTTCAATGAATTGTCTGTTATTGCCGCCCTCATCTTAAAAACTGTACTGTATCAGCGAATCGATTCCTTGTTTTTCTTATTGTATAAAATATCAACAAAACTATACTCGTGTATTATATTACTTGATTGATGATTGGATTTTTCTTTTCTTTTGAACAATGAAACAGTAAACCGCAATGAATTGACAATCATAATAATAATAATTATCATAAGCTCGATAAGTGATTGCTGGTATTATAAATTTACCAAATCTAATTACAACTATCTCTATGATTGGTTATATATGTAGAGTTTTACAAATCATCAGACAAACTAACCAACCACTCAACTGAACATGTTTCATTGAATTAATTCCCTGTCTACATTTCTCTAATAGATTTTCAATAATCAATTAGCTACATTTAAGTATAGTTCGTGTTGTTATAGAACAGAGTATATATATATATATATATATATATATATATATATATATATATATATATATATATATGTATAGATGAATAATGTTCTTTGCAATGAGATCTTCATTTAGACTTGACACCTATGTAATAAATGCATGTTCAATTTCAATCAAAATGATTTGTGCGCAATCAATGATAACAACAAATAGATTGCATAACTTCTAGGCAATGCACAAATTGATAGATTAGTTTTAACAATGAGTAAATGCATACATAGATCAACCAATGTTTCATAAAATAAGAGAAGGAAGTAGTACGTTAACAAGTTGGAAAAATTGAACATTGAAATAATTATATTACAATTACATGCAACTAATCAATAATAATAATAATAACAATCTATTCAAAGGAAATTGATGATGGAAAGAAAAATCAATAAACAAAGTGTTTAAAAATCACTAATACTAGGCACAAACAAACTTAATTTGATCAGGAAAGTGATAAGAATGTTAAAATTTATTATGAATATGAAGACTTGGGTTGTTAGCTTGAAACCCTGTGTAGCTTTCTTATTATCTATGAGAAATTAGATTAAACTTCATAAAGAAAAGTAGTAATAGGTATGCATTTAATTGACTCTGGTAGATTTGATTCTATCTTGACTGGTGTGCCTACCAAGTATGACAGAACAGGAGCTGCCTATTGTTTTGAACATAATACCATTTTTATTTCTAAACACCCAAAGAGAGAGAGAGAGAGCAAAGCTTAATAGGGTATAGGAATGGAAACACTATCATTTGAAGTGGTCGAACGTGTCAACCACTTCACGTATCTCATCAGCGCTGATGACCAGGTGACTGACGAAATCTCAGCACCGATACGGTGTAGGAATAGGTTGGTTGGTTAGAGACCCTGAATGACATGACTCAAAATCGTTTGCAATGACACAGGTGCATTCATTCTTTGTGTTCTCTCAAATCCTAATCTTCCGGATTCGTCAACACCTTTACCTTTGTCTTTCTAACCTTATCTCACTGAATTATACTTCTTGAATAATATCTTCGAACCCTAATATTCTCTATTACCAGTAGTACTCCTACTATCTGCACTACTATCGGATTTAAATTGACAATTTCGTCTCTGTGCTAATGTGGTATGGCAACATGAACTGATGTACAAAGTTCTACTTTGCAACTGACTGACTAGTTTCTACATAATCATTTTATGAAAATGAACCCATCATATATTGATTGATCAGTATGATGATGAATAATAATTGGATAATGTCATATATAGAGAAAAAAACAGACATCCAAAAATGAACACAAATGTGTTAATTGATTTTATGTATGATTTTTTATGTCTATATTTATGATTATTAACTAGTTGAATTTCATTGACACTCATCTCTCTCTCTCTTTCTTTCGTTCTCTTGTAAATTTATATTTGACATTGATTAACGCATACTCTTCTATAAAGGACGAATTCATTTAGATTGTTTTATATGATTCAATCATAAAGCATAAAGGTTTATTGTATTTTCTCACTTGTAAAGCTTTATTAATGGTAAATCAGGTTTGTCAAAAGTTCATTTAGGCAGCGAGCTGCATGTCTAATTTTAATAGTATAATCTTAATTTTATGTAGTGTAATTCTCTTCAATCATTCAAAGTTCATGTTCAATTGTAAATAGATTTTTGTTGATTTACAGTGTATATAAATCATCATTTCATAAATCACTTATTCATATGTTCTGTTTTTTTTTCCCGCTCTTTTTTCAATGAAATAACACTAACAAAAATCAAATTTAAATTTTAGGCTCTTTATTTAATTGGTACTAATGGTAAACCGGAAATTAAAGAACGTGATAAATTAAGTCCAGAATTTCTAGATTTCCTTGATCGATGCCTTGAAGTCAATGTAGATCTACGTGCATCTGCATTTGAATTACTTAAAGTGAGTAATCGCTATGTTTTGTTTTCTTTTCAAAAAAAAATAAAATAAAATAAAATAACAATGTTATTTTCATTGATGTATTTTTTATTCATTAGAAAATGTGATCAACGAACTTGATTGTCAAGCTCTTAACTACTACTACTACTACGCTCT